TTTTTCTTTTTCTTTTTCTTTTTCTTTTTCTTTTTCTTTTTCTTTTTCTTTTTCTTTTTCTTTTTCTTTTATTTTTTATTGCAAGCAGCAACTCAGGTTTTCCTGACTAGAAGGGATTCATGCCTTTACAAAACTGCACTTGTTCCAGATTGAAAACTTCCTATGCTTGATATCCATGCATGAACTCTAAGCATCTGGGAAGAAGCTGTGTCCATCTGGTTATAATTTTGTACGTATAAATCCAACTCTTTTATTGTGTCTTAGCCATTGGAAGCAGCTACCAGCCATCCAACTTCTCAGCAGCAGAGGAGGGAAATTCTCATTTTCCTAGCACCAGAGTGCACAATTCCACACTGTCCACCAGAGGTGGAGGAAGGACGTTAAGGTCGCTACCAAGCAGCACCAGCCTGACTGATGCAACAGAGATTTCCACATCTGGTACCGAAATGATCAGCCCTTTGGATCAGACACAGTCCTTGGGGACATCGTTGGCAGAAGGTGGCACAGGTGCCACAGCGACAGTCACGGACACGTTGCTCCCAGGCTCTGCCTCTGCTTCAGAAAGCACTTCCAAAAGTGAGTTTTGATAGCTAGCTTTATAACTTGGAACATTATTTAAAACCCTTTATAAACAAAATACATCCTTTTTATTTTAAAGAAAGGAGGAATAATATTATATTTGGCACATTCTGTACGTTCAAATACATTTCACACAAATGAAGGTATGGATAAATATTATTCTTGTTGGAAGAGGAGGAGAGATTTTTGTTGAAAACTTTCTCTCTTTTGCAAGCAATAGCTTCAGCAGCTCCTTTTTGTTCAGTCTCAATGATTTCTCAGTAGTAAATAGTTAGGTATTGAATATTCATGTATCTGTTATCTGCATTAACTGGTACATCCTGGGACGAAGCTTATGCAGCTGTTTCAGTTTACATACATGCAGCTTTGCTTTTCCTGTGTCCTTTCCCAGCTTTCAGAAGCACTWACGAACCACAGAGCATCTCGGGCGCAGGAGAGGGGACCCCGCGCGCTGTCCCCAGCGGTGCCGCGGTGGCTCGGGCGCACACCAGCTCTACAGCAAGGTCCTCGGTGTCCGTGGCCAGCAGCAGCACCCCCGGGGCCACCTCCAGCCGCGGTGCCACTGGCCTCGGAGACGGGACCGTGTCCCCCAGCACGGAGCGGACACGCGGCACGGGAGGCGCGCGGGACGCCACGGMGCCGGCACGCGCGCGCTCTGGCCCGGGAAGCAATTCCAACGGTAAATTTGTTAGGCTGGAAGGGGGCTAGCTGGGGGCTGAGGGGAGATTCTGCCTTCCCACGGCACTGTTGTAAATGCAGCGAGTTTGCAATGGAATGCGATGGAGTTTTTAATCGCTGGTTGCGTCAGGCCAGCGCCGGGATTTGAGGAGAAGAGCAGGAGGGGATTTCAAGGTTTGGCTGAAAATCTGCCAAATGCTGGTGTATTTGCTCGCTGAGGAAATTTTGCGTGTTGGGAAGGCGGCCGTTGCTTTGTGCCCACCACTCTCAGTTAATGCAATTGGGGTCCGGGTGGGTGATCCGCGGTGCGGCGCACGCACCAGGTCAGCGCCGCATCGCCCTCAGTTCTCCCCAGCTTGACGAGTGCCCCTGCCTGTGAGTGGGATAAATCGTGGGAAAATGCCATGCTCACCTACCGGGGCTCTCTGGTGTCCAGCTTGTTTGCGTGTCCCCATGGGCAGCAGCCAGGACCGGTTCCAAAGAACCTGAAGACCCTTTTTTGGGTCATCTTCTTCATCCTCTGCATGTGCTCTGAGCTGAAAGGGAGAGGCTCTGGGTTTAAATTAGGTCCAAGAGAGCTTAAACAAAGTGTTGCACACATCTTCGCTGTAAATTATTTCCACCTTTCCTTTTTTTTATTTAAGTTGTGACTTCCATAGCTTTTTATAAGGCCTGTGCGCCTAGRCAGGAAGGAGTCACACCTTCCCAAAGTAGCTCCAGATTGAGAACTTCCTCTGCTCTGAACAAACCACGTACCCATCTGTGCTCGGCCTAAAGGAGACTGTCCATCAGTGTATGACTTCATATGTGTAAAACATATGTGCTTTTCCTTTATCTTAGGTGTGAGAAGCAGCAGTTGGTCAACTAAGAGCTCGGCTACAGAGACAAGAGCTGCTGGTTCTGCTGCCGCCAGCCCGTACGTTGCAGCCACCGTCACCAGCACGGCAGGAAGGACACTGAGGTCTGTAACCACTATCAGCAAATGGGGAGCAGAAGGATCTCCTTCTGGCACTGGCATGTCCCTGGCCACAAGTGCGAGCCGGTCSTCGTCTTCCATAAGAGAGACCTATGGAGTTAAAGGGTCAAGAGCAGGCATGAATGTCACCGAACCTTTGGCAAGCCCTTCGCTAACACGTTCTCAGTCTGTTTCAGAAACACCTTCGGCAGGTGAGCTCAAGTTACAAATGAGATACCGTTTTTATTGTGAGAGGAGGAATGTTATTTTTTTCCCATGTTATTTTTCACTTACAAGACTCTTCTATAGATCTCAAAGCATGTTRTTGCTGTGCAGTATATGCTGTAAGGAAAGATGTGATGTGATTTTGGTGTCTGAATTACTTCTTGAGGGGAAAAAATGGTTTGAGTTTTATAGAAAGGACAAATCTTTTGCGAATAGTCTCATTAAGCCAAGAAAAATAATTTACTTTCAGACCTCAAATATATATATATTTTTTACTGTCTCAAATTACTATCTGTGTTTTATAGGCAAGGGAACTAAGCAAGCGAGGAATAAATCATGTTTGTGCAGTGACAGGGACTTGACTTCAGTTCCTTTGAGTTCCTGCCCTTCACTGAACGACTTGGACCATGCTGCTTCCCATAAATTTAGTCAATTCAGCATATTTACGACAACTTTGAACATGGACTCTGAGATTTTCTCTGCAGAGCTTGTGGTCCTTGACCCATTGCAGTGCTGAGGGARGCTGATCCCCACTAATCTCATTTCTTCAAGTTTGATATGTTTTCTAAGCTCTCTGCGCTGCTCAGCATTGCACCTCAGCTCAGCTCAATGCCAGGCTTTTCTGAAATGCTGCAGTATTTATTTGCTCTAGCAGCATGGAGCGCAGCGAGCCATGTAATGGTGAAATTAAGTGCAGGGCATAGTAGTTCCACAGACTCTACAATTGCACTTTTCTTGGCGTCAAACCATGCATTTTATAAGACAATTTTCTATAGAAAGCATCACATCCTTGCAAATTTCCTCCTTTCTCTGGATTGACATCTGCTTGTATTTTCTATCTGCATATGCACTCTTGCCTCTGGATGTTAGAGAAGAAAGCTCATCTGTTCATTTATCATCTCACATGTATACATTTTTCTTTATCACATAGCTACTGGAAGCAGCCACGTGCCATTTAGCAACCCATCAACAGGGGAAAGGACGGATTTTCCCAACACCACCGCTTATGTTTCAACACTGTCCACAAGAGGTGGAACAAGGACGTTAAGGTCGCTACCAAGCAGCACCAGCCTGACTGATGCAACGGAGATTTCCACCTCTGGTACCAAAATGATCCGCCCTTTGGGTCGGACCCAGTCCTCTGGGATGGCTTTGGCAGCAGAAGCTGGCGATGGTGCAGGTGCCACCGCAACGTTCATGGACTTGTTGCTCTCAAGCTCTGCATCTGCTTYGGAAAACACCTCCCCAGGTGAGTTCCAATGGCCTCCGTAGGGCTCATTCCCACRGATCTCAGCCCTCTATGGAGGAATGAGCAGGATGCTAAAAGATGCTGGACAATGATATTGGACTTAYGGAATAAAAATTCATCTTTCAAGTGAAAAATATATTTTCTCCATAAACTAGTTGTTATTTCCATTTATTCACCAAAGAAAACCAGCCTTATTGCGAGAGCAGTCTGGCCTTGAGGGCTGTTGTTTTCCGAGCTGGCCAAGAGGACTGTCTTGAAACCATGCAGTGTTTACAAGAGCGGGGAGGCAACGCTAGTTGTTCCTGACTCCCACCCTGGAAAACAAATGCAACATTTACGGATCCTGCAGAACACGCTTTGTTTAAATCTCTCTAGTTACTCACCACTGCGACCCCACCTAGTTTAATTCCCGGCATTTCTATAGTTGTTCTGGTGTCTGCAAGTGCCAGCAGTCTGGAATGCCGAGCCGGGGCACGCAGCAATGAGGGGAAACAAATAAAAATTGCCTCCACGTTTTGTTTTTAGTGCCCTCTTCAGGGTGTCGCTCTGTGAGCAGCAATCCCTGTATTCTTGAAAACAGTTATTTCCTTGCAATTAATGTTTTCTCCAGATTTAAGTCTTCTCCTGTGTTATATCTCTACGCACAAGGTCTGCCTTCAGGTGGGGTTAGGGGAAAACTTATCCATCTGCTTGCAGTTTGCTATGTATGAATCGTTTTGCTTTATTTATCCTTTCTCAGACAAAGCAGCTACTAGTTCAGCTACAGAAAAAAGCAGCTCTGAGCCTGCTCTGCCCAGTGCATCCAGCGCAGCGACGGCTACCGGGCGTGCAGAAAGGACCATGGAGCCCGGAGCCAACATCAGCGCAGCACCTGGTGCTCCAGAGAGCAGTGTGTCCTTGGATCCCATCCAGCTGTCATCTTCTGTAATGGAGGCTGGAAGGGAGCATAATATTTCGGAGAGTGATGATGAATAYGTGGAGCTTTCGACGCAGCCGTTGCCTGTGATTTCTTCCAGTCTTTCAATGTCTTCATCTTCCCCGGATGCTTCTGGTGGGTTGTGTGATCCCCCGCTTCGCTGCTGCTGTAAAGGGCACCCCTCCTCCTCCTTTCCCCTCCTTTGCCATGCTGCCTTGTTCCCTCTCTGCCCGGGTAAGCCGTGTACATGTCCTGCTTCTCATCTGCAGTGTCCTCAGCCAGGGCGCTGGTGCCCAGTGGAGGAGTGCTGCTCGGGTCGGTCCTGGCTGGGCTTTCAGGGTCCCACCCACTGCATCCATGTCCACAGAAGTTAGTTTGAAAGCCCACCGGTCCATCCAAGGATTTTCTTTTACCAGCCTAAAAATACAGGTGTCCTGAGAATTCCAGGTAGTAAATAAGTGGTGTCAGTAACTGAGCTACGCCTCCAGCTGTGAGAATTGAAACGTTCCAATTTTAGTCTCTATTGGAGCCTCAAGAGTATTATTAACACATCAATGTTATACATTTATATGTATATACGTATCTGTATCTCTGCACTTCCAGGGAGAGAAGAAAGGATTTCCATCGTTCCTACCGACAGCACGTACACCTCAACCACCTTCTCCACGCGTGGAGAGGAGACCTCTGAGGCTCCAGGTGACCRCAGCACATGGAGCCAGGTGACAGAAAGCTCCACATCCAACCCAGACGTGCAGTCGTGCTCCAGTCCTATCCCATCCGCAACGGAGTGGCCTGAGGGAGGGCCTGTCTTGCCCAGAGAAGCCGGCTACACCAAGCCCTCGACCGAGGTCACCCTTTCATCCCAGGCCTCCACTGCCTTCTCTGCCCCACAAGAACCTTCCAGTGAGTTTCTCKGAACTCCAGAGTCACCGCTGAACTAGATAAAGAAAATTCACTCCTCCTCCTCCATGGGTTTGATATTGCCAGCAACATGTCCTAGGGCTGTTGTGGGTGCCATGGGCAGCATTTGTAAATCGTGATGATTTTGTTTGTGGATATTCTTGTATATTGGTAACTGTTGGTATTAAATCTCAGGAATACGAGCTGGGTTTCCTCACTATAGAAATGTCTACAGCTTGGTTTGGTGGGATAATAATTCTAAAAACTTGTGTCCTTATCATAGAATCATAGAATGCTTAAGGTTGGAAGAGACCTCAGAGGTCATCTAGTCCAACCCCCCTGCTCACGCAGGGTCACCTAGAGCAATATAGTCTAATGATAACCATTGGCTCTATACATTTACAGAGGCCAGTTTCTAACATTTTCATTGGAATAGGTTTGGAGCGTTAGGTCTGTGTTTAAGGTGACAGCTGTGTGAAATCTATTTAATCTGTATTTGTCTGTGCAATTTTATTAATTTGTTTTTCCAAAGCAGAATTACTGTAGAATGCATAAGTGCACTGTGAGCAGGGATGGCAAAAGTGAGCGCCCACTTTCTGATACCGTTTCAGCCCCTGGACGCMCCCATCACTCACGGAGCAGCTCGGGGAGCGAGAGGAGGGTGTCCCGCGCTCGCACGGACCCCGCGCACGGCTCGGCCGCGGTGACAGGCAGCGGGGACAGGACCTTGCGCTCTGTGACCAACGACACCCTGGCCCAGGGCACCGAGAGCTCCACGTCGCACCTGGAAATCGCTAATTCCTCCGAAGGGAAGAGCTCGGTGCCCAGGGAGCAGAGCGGGACGCCGAACATCTCCGTGAGCAGCTTGGGCATCACGGGGCTTGTGACTGAGACGCTCTTTACGCATTCCTCCAAGATCCCGACTTACTCATCTTTCCAGAGAGATCTCTCGAGTAAGTTAGTGGATTTGTCTACGAATGCTTTTTGGGGGAGGAAAAGAGTGAGTCCCCATTATCCTGCATTTACCTGTGTTGTGTGCAAAGCCCTCGTTCACCAGTACAGGGAATATCATCCRTGGGTGTTTGAGGAGGATGTTTTTGTACATCTGGATGTCATTCCAGAAGGGAAACCACCATCCTCAAGGATGAAGCGGGTTCCTGATTCACTAGCAAGGAAGTTGTCTTGCCTTGATGGTCACATCATTTGTTTTGCACCCTAGCTAATTTGTTGTTGGGACATTTTTGGAGGTGTTCACTTCAGTCAATTCTAGAATTAAGTTCAAGTTTTGAATTTTGAAGATCCTATTCTGTATTTTAGAGATTCCTGAAGATATTTTTAAATCCTGACATTTATTTTCTARTATTGATTGTACCTTTAATTTAAAATAATCTGAATTATTGCAAGGCAATGTGCTATTCATTTAAGTTTTCCTGCCTGCAAAGCTTTCGATCAATGAGTTCCTGATAAGCTACAAATGAACATAATAATGTTATCCTAYAGAGGCTCACAGTTCCCTGTATCTAGAAACAAACTGACTTAAGAAGATTGATATTCTCTAGTACGGAATGGAGACTAAGAAGGAAAGGATGTGAGTTTTATGTCATGAGAGATAAAGAGAACAGGTGTATTTTCCTGCTTAGCCTACAACAAAACATTACAGAACACCAAGTGCTCAATCACATTAGAAAAGCAATACTGGAAGAAGCATTTTTTAGAAACCTATGCTTTCCACAGGGGCTTGTGTTTGTCAAACTTCAACATTTTGAAATTAAGGAATGCAGAAGACTCCCAGTTCCATAGCTATGAAATTCTAGTACCTCAGGTYGCTAAATTACGAGTTGGTAAGGAATGTGGGCCAGTTCACAGACAAGAATGTTTGACAGATTTAACAAGCAACTTTAATATGAAGTCAAAATAGTTTCATATTATGCTGTTTTTCTAATGTATTTTATCCTTTTCCTCCAGGCTTTCCAAGCAGTCATCAGCCAGTCAGTAGCGTTGATGTGGAGAAAAGGACCTCTGTTTCGCACACGGACGGCACATACATTTCAACCACGTACACCAGAGGTGGAGAGAGGACCCTCCTGTCTATATCCAACAGTAGCACCTCTGCCGAGTCCTCGGAAAGTTCCACTTTTTTTTCAGAAATTTCCAGCCCTTCTGATTCATCTCAGTCTTCTTCTGTGACTCAAGACAGAAGGAGCAACGTCTCCAGTGACAGCAGTTTTATTGAACCATCTACTGAGCCATTGCTAGTACCTTCTTCCAAGCTGTTGACTTCTGCTTCCRCAGGCACTACACAGAATGCAACTCTTTTGGATACGGACCCTGAGCTGTTGCCTACTGGCAGATCATCTCTATCTTCATCAGCATTTCCATCCTCTTCCTCAGTGCCATCGCTCACTTCATCACTTCACTCAACGTCATCGACAGCATCACCAGCGTACCCATTTGCATCATCAGATGCATCTGAGCTGCTGTCTTCATCCGCGATGGCRTCATCTCCTCCTCCACAGGCTTTGTCAAGTGCTGTGCCCACTTCTTCGTTGCTTTCCCCATCTTATTCGTTAACATCTTTATTTCCTCTGTTTTCTTCACCATCTTCCACGTCGCAGTCCAACGACAGTGGTCAAACAAGCACCTCAGTAGCTACTACTGAAGCCAGACAGGTGCCCTCTACTGCAGCCATCACTGGGAGCTCTCCTGGAGATACCAGCAAGCCCAGTGGAACGTCCCAGCCCCAGAAGAGCACCACCTTCATCTCTGCAGGCCCTGCTCCTCTTCCCACCGAGCCCATGGAGCAGCGTGGCAGCCATGCTGTGTCCATGTTTGCTCCCGTGCTTGTAACAGAGAGCCCGTTGCTGAGCACTSTTTCTCCCAAGGAGGGTGACTTTGGAAAGACCACACCGTTGCTCACTACCTCTAGTGACACCCTGAGTGCTGGGACAACAGGGACACCCCACGGTGCAACACCAAGCACAACGAGCCAAGAAGTTGTCCCCTCAGCGGTGGCATTGACTACAGTGAACCCTCCCGTGCTGACGACACCTGCAGTTCGCAGACCAACCCCAGCTCAGCCTAGCACCACGAAAGTCCTCAGACCCCAAACACCCATGGCCACTGAAACAGCTCATGCCACCAGCCAGACTCCAAAAGCTGTTGATCGTAGCACTGCAAATACTGGTAGAGCCACCGAGCAAAACGTCCCGGTGACGAAGCMTCCTGGAGCACCACCGCCCACCAAGACCACCATGAGCATGGCAACAACTTCRGCCACTGCTACCAAACCAACGATTCCCACTCCGCTGAGCAGCACAGCAAGGCTGAGGACACCGTCACCAGTAACAGGTAACCTTTATACCTGTTGGTATAAAGCGCTGGGGGATGTGACACAGGGACCGAGAGCATGCGGATCCCTGGATGGTTATGTAGCAAACGAGTCTGTTGTCCACAGGACTAGAGGATAAGAATTTGGTCTTCATTCCTGGYAATTTTAAGATGAGGATTGAGCAATCAGGCAGAGCTGCTTGAAAAAGGCAAACATTTTGGTGGATGTTTGTGATGAAAATGTTAAGCTGAAATCTGGGAAATTCAAAATAGAACCTGGATGGCTTTCCAGGTAAGCCTAGGATGTGCAATCTTTATATTTCTCTTGAAAAATAGATCAATATGTATTTCTTCAYGAGAAAAGGCAGTTGGCTGGTGCTTGCTGTTTGCATTGGAACTCATTCTGTTATTACAACGTATGATCATGTTCTCCCCGTCTCACTAAATAATCTCCTTCTTGAGGGCTCCTCTCTTCTCCCTCTAGGTTACATACCACAGTCTTGCTAAGTGCATTGGTGTGACCACAGCTATGGAAGAAAAGCTGAGAAATGTGCTAAGCAAGTGTTTCGGGTTGACTTCTTGATGACTTTGTAGTTCAAGAGCATTCCGTGAATCTCTGTGAAGAAACCAGGGAGTTTGTTCTTAGGCAAATTCTTCACCCTATAAAACTCAAATATGTAGGTTTGCAAGAGCCCCTTCCTGCGTGGCCATGGGGAACTTCTTTCAAGGGGTGAACTGGAGTGGAGACTCATGTCCTTTGGAGAACAGGGCAGTTCAGAAAAAGGTAGTTGTGGTTCACTGCAGCATCCTGGAAGGAGTTTAGAGGGCAAAAAGCCCTATGGGTGAATAAAGGTTTTCATTTATTACCAGGCTCCTTATCTTCTCGAGTAAATATATTGAGCTGCATTTTATATGAACGGAAATTGATTCTGTGTTTGAAGTTCAGAAATCCAACCCTCATGCCACTGTAGGGTATCATGGGCACTAATTGCATTACTGTCATGAAATACTGATAACAATATACACTATATCCAATAATTTAAAGGTTATTTCTCAAGTTGATTGGTTTTAATTATAGCTATGGCTTCATACAAGCACTTCACTGTGAATAGYTTTATTTTAGGCAAACAATAGTGGAATGTAGCCTCTTTACTGCCCAAGTCACATTTTTGACAAGTTCCTCTTTCTTTTAAATATCAGGTTTTGCCATTTACTCTTAAAAAAAATTTTAAAAAAAGTAAAATCTGCTCTTGGATGTAAGGCTTTGTACTTGGGGCATCGTACAGCTTTGCAGCTCCGTAACATCTTCCAAGCAGATGCCAAAGAAATGATTATCCTGGCCAGTTTGCCTTTCTCGCGCTCTCATCCCCCTGTCAGAGCCGCAGAATAAATCTGAGCTCTAGCATAGTCCCGCGCTGACATCACGCTCATTAAAGCTGGGAAGAGGCTGCTGTCAGGCTTCCAGGTTCTGGGGAGAACGCGAGGAATTGCTGCTAACGCCCTCGCCGCTGCTTCTGCACCTGACCTGGAGAAGCCTGAAGGACTGCGCTMCGGGAGGAGGCTGCTGGTGTCCCGGATTGTACAAAAAAAGCAGCAAAATGAAGGATAAAGAAGCGAAAGCCAGTATTTTAAAACGTGCCCACTCATCTCTGTCTCTCTGGATGGGAGATGTCGAGTTCTTGTCTCGCTGGTGCTCAGCCGGCCCTGCCAGGCTGCTCCAAGCATGGAGGTCACCTCAAGCTGTGTCCCAAAGAGGAGACTGGCTGGATCTGTAGCGCTGGCTGGATCTGTAGGGCCTGCCTGGTGCCAGGGGTGGAGCAGCAGCAGCACAAGGGCGTCAGGGTAGGAGGCAGTAGCAGCCAGGGCTGCCTCCACCACCACCAAGCCATGCTGAAGCACTAGCTTTGRTTCCCATGGTTAATGCCCAAAGGACTTGGACCAAAAGGGCAGAAATCAGAGCAAGGAGCACTAGGAGCCCTGGTTCTCTATGGAGCTCTGSCCGTCAAAGTCATTTCGTCTGTTCCTTCATGCCTAACTATAATGATGTTTATCTCTGAAAAGCACTTGGAGATCTGCATTTGAGCGGGGTGTTAATATGAACTTGGGTCCCAAGAGCTTTRGGATGAATATTCAGGAGAAAATGTTTTGTGTTTGTTCTTTCAGCTCCAATGAAATAATTAAGAACAGGATAAATAGTAAGTGCAAATGATGCAATAATTCATCTGATAATGCTCAGAGGGTCACGGGAGCCAAACTGATTTTTATTTTTTTGTCCACTGTTTGATGATTTCTGTGATTCTGTAACTGCAGGCTGTGTTTTTTTTCTCCTCACTTTTGCAGATGTGGATGAATGTCTTTCCAATCCCTGTCCTGCCTTGGCCACGTGCAACAACACCCATGGCTCCTACATCTGCCAGTGTCCCCTTGGGTATGAGCTGGAAAAAGGAAAGTGCAATTTAGGTAAGAGAGAAAAAATGAAAAGACAGGGAGGGAAGAAGGAAATAATTATATGTAATGTTCTGAAATAAATTAACTGAAGCTCAAACTAGTTCTTCAGGAGTTTAATGTGCCTTCCAGCTACCACTTTGAACAAGACCCCTTTATTGTTTGTACAAGTGCAGAGTCTAATGCCTGCCACATTAGGATGCCCCCGGGAGCAAAGGCAGCAATATTTAAGGACTTCTAAGCCTAGCCTTAAAAATACAGAAACTGAGCAGTGGGCTCAGGCTTATTGGGAAGGACTTATGTGCCAGTTCTGCTTTCAATATGGTTTATAAACCCCCAAAATGAATTCTGCAGATTCTCCTAGGTCTCAGGCCTGTAAAACCATGAAGTCAAGATGAAGCTTGGCTTTATGGAAGTGAGTAGGGCTCTTGTGCAGCCTGACTTCAGTGGGATCAACCATGTGCATGAAATTAAGCAGCCGTGAAAGTCTTTGTTAGATCAAGGTCTGGCTTCATACCTTAAATAGTTTTTGTGCAGCATGCTTATTATTTGAGACCTTTATATTAAAGGACCATGAATCTCAAGGACCTTTCAGTGTCCCGTTGTGATGGGGAATTTATTTTGGTAGTGTTTCTTCTGACCCTTGCTCAGAGAGGATTAGTGACATGGAAATTTTGCTAAGAGAATGTGACTGAGGAGCCCCTGAAGGGCGTTTTGAAACGTTTCTCCGTGGCAAAATGTGACGACTTCTGAGTTAGAGAGTTGTTCTGGTTATACCTCAGACTGGGGTCTGAGGGTAGATCACATAAATACTGTGGAGGTGATTCTTGCCTCATTTTTACCAGGAATTGTTATACTAGAGCTGTCTGATATGTGATTTGTGGTGAAGATAGGCTCTGTGAATGGGAAAAAAATGGGAAAGAATTARAGGTTTTATAATGTTATCTGCAATTGTATTTGTTTTTCTGGTAGMACATAAAACTTGAGCTCTGAGTTCTCATTTCCACTGAGTTATCTCATGACATGTAATAAAAAATTGAGGAGTATTATCTCTCCAAGTCTGGACAACTTAGATTATTACATTCTGCTGTCATGAATCAAATATGAATCTGAACATGGAAAAATACATCTTTTGGACCTCCTTTCAGATGTCATTGCTTATTCTCTCCAAGAGCTTAGAAATGAAAATGTCCTTTTTGTAATGCTTTATTTTCACTTGCTGATTTGCTTTCCTTCCATTTAAGGGAGATGAAAAATATTTGGTACATTTACTCAAAATTATTGTATGTTACTTTTGTACCAGGAACTGTTTTATTAGTTAATTTAACCATTTAAATTTCTCTCTGCTGTTCTGGGGTCCCCATAAATTAGTTTGTGCTGCCTAGATATTTTTGGTTCATAGAAATGTATGAGCTCAGTGGTGAAATGCTGGTTGTTTAGCAGCGTCAAGCTCTGGAATTTAGTTGTGGGAATTGTTTAGCTCCTGCTAAACTCCTCTTATTCTCCTTTTCAGTAAGAATATTCATTGGCCAGGCTCCCCTGAAGCCAAATATCACTCACGGGAAGTATGCAGAACTGCTGCACATCGAGGGCGAGATCCTCACGATGGTGAGTGTCACCAGTTTAATCTCTGAACCTTCCTGCTCAGGTATGGGTAGGACCAGTGAAAAGGGGGACGCAAAGCTGTTCTTTGAGTGGGGACCATTTATCCCATGTTTACTCAGCCTGAGCACATTGGGATGACTGTAATACTGGAAACACTAACAATATTCTGTCTGCCAAACAGCACACGTTTTGGTCATGGGGTAATCCTCAGTGAGGACTCGGCACTATTATTTTGGGCTGGAACTTAGTTCTTTTTGTTTTCCTGCTAGGCTAAAAGATTGGTTTTTCACCTCATGTTTAGTGCTGAAAAATTATATATACTTTTAAGTTTGGAGCAAGTGTTGGCCTGTGACACCTGCAACTTGCTGCACGCCTGGGCTCTTCCCAAAGTCCCCAGGAATGGGGTGGTTGTCTCTCTGTGAGTTATTTAGTCAGATCATCACAGGAATAAGTCCACGCCGTTAGCAGGGCCCAGCCTGGCTGCAGTTTGTCTGCTGCCCTTCACGGCCATCACAGAGCAGGGCCCAAGGCAGGTGCTGATTTCCAAAGCACCAGGTCTTGCTCCATGCCCTAGGCCAGCAACCATGTCATCAGCCTTGCTTTCCTGTTGCAAAATTAGCCACTGCAAAGTTCAGAGAGCCCCTGGGCATCACACTGTGGTTGAGGTGACAGTCAAAGATGAAGCAGGGCCATCACCACCCCACGTCCCTTCTGTTCCCCTCTGGGGCTGTAACTGGCCGCTCTGCTCTCCCTTTCAGCTGGATGCATCGCTGGCCACCTTACCGGGCTACCACCGCTCTGTGGTTAAGGCCACCAGGTAAGGGGCACCATGTGTCCAGCATGCATGTTGTATGCATGTTATGCATGACTTGCCTTACTAAGGCCTACATACACCACTGTAATGATGACATTGAGCTGAGTGGTGATGGTGACAGCTCTTTCGTTTTCTGTTAGAGAGGCCAACGTGGTCCACGTTTCGGTGCAGTCCACGTTTTCGTTGGCTTCCAACGTGACTTTCTACGATGTCGTCACCAGTGTGAAAAGCTACATCAGAGCGTGCACGTCGCCCCCAGAGACCTGCCAGTTCATCTCAAACCTCAGGCCGCTCCACAGAGGTAGCCGAGATCTGGATTGGTTATTGGGGGGCGTGGAAATCAAAGCATGTTATAYGTGGCTCTTTGGAAAAGGAGGAGACAGAGTTGCCCAGAGAGGTTATGGATTCTGCATCCTTGGAGATACTCAAATTCTCCRGGACACAATCCTGGGCAATGGCTCTACGTGACCCTGCTTGAGCAGGGAGCTTAGACTAGRTGATCTCAAGAGGGAGGGAGGGTTTCAAAAGCCATCAGTCCTGATCATCCATCAGGAGGATGGTGACAGTGATGGTTACAGTCACTGACACCACTGGGGCATCCCAGCTGCCCAAAACCATCCTGTTGAGTGCATCAGCACYGCCCCAGTCTTCACTGAAAAATCCATGTTTTTCCACCTTCCAGGCTTGACTGTTGAATGGGCATGGTGTAAAAATTACTCCCAGTTAAGTTTTTTCAGACCATGAAACCTTTCCATATCTAATCCTAAACACCATCRTGGATTGAATTGATTAAATGATTTTGGTAGAACAAATCAAATTATATTCACCAGCTAGATACAATATTTTCATTAAATTTTTCCTTCTAGCATAAACAGAATTACTAAGAAACACATTCTATTGGAATTCGTAAGTATTTAAAGAATAGATGTCAGAGTAAAAAAGGGATGGAGAGTCTATTGGAGATGAGTTTATTAAAGTTGAGTTCCACATGGATAACATATTTTCTATAAAAACTGTATCATGAAAATTTTTTCATTTGCTCATCCATMTTAGTGCAGCCTCCCAGTAAAAATGCAAATATGATGGCACTTATGTGCCATATATTACTTATATGATGTAACTTACGCAATTGAGTTTTGCTGAATACTCTTTAAAAAAAAAAGACATTTAAAGACATTGATTCGAAGTGGAATGAATCAAAATGTATTTTTTTGTTTGTTAAAAGTGAAAAATATACCATGCTTAAAATCAAAATGAAGAATCTGTTTTGGGCTGAGCAGAACGTTTTGCTTGACATAAACTTAAAATTAAAAATTGATTTGTTGAGCCATCTYGGAGGAAATGTGTTTTAGCTCGAGTTAAAACTAATTTTTCTTTTTAATTTCCCATTCTGCCTCCAAGCTGAACTATTTATTATTCCCCCCTCTGCCTGCCTGCGTGATCGATAGGAGCTGGGCAAGAAGCTGTGGCATGCAGTAATGTCGCCTTATCTTGTAAGGGAGCCAATATTATTAAGRAAAAGAAGATGAAAGCAACGCATGACCTAAATGGGCTGCCTGGGGAAAGCGAACGTGCAGAATGAGGTGGTGAGGGGAGAACATGCTGATGTTGCCCGTGTCTTTCGACAGTCGGCACTCTGTGCAAGCAGAAGGACCCCGAGTGCGACGAGGAAACCTCTGAATGCACCGACTTCGACGGCRTCGCGCTCTGCCAGTGCAAAAGCGGCTACTTCAAATACAACAGGATGGACCACTCGTGCCGAGGTACCGCTCCTCACGCCGTGTGTTTTGGCTGCGTTCTGCCTGGCCCTTGGTTGCTGCTGGAAGTGGTTCTGTGAGTGTGCGTGTGTCGGCGGGCGCCAGATATCGCCCGGCATCCTAAGCAGCTCAGTATTATGAATCAATATTAACAGCTGAGATTTCTTGTATTTAGCTAGGGGACGTTTCAGTAGACACAGTCTCTGTCTAGGAATAATATTATCTCTTTTTGGAGCATGCTGTGAGACGGAACGATGGAGAAACAGGCGAAAGGGGAGCCCAAATGCTCCGGGCTCCAGTTCGGTGGCACGGAGCACAGAGGACATGCAGCTCTGCCTGTTTTGGTTTTGTCTGAACTCTCAGTGAACTTCAGATAATTGCTTTAGACTCGCAAGCTATATTAATACATCATCAATATTTTTAGAATAAGCAAGTATCTGAGAAGGGCTGTGGATTTATTTTTCAGCTGGGCTCCTAGTAGAAATTTTAAGCTCAAGGGTTATATTATTTTTTAACTACTCAGATGGTGAAATCTGTTTTGCTGTATCTTAAGCAAGCTCTTTGTCTTTGTGCCAGTGGTCAAAACAATTGTAGAATCTGTCTCCTCCCTCATTGCAGTGGTCATTGCTGTGGGGCTGCTTAAGAAATCCGTCTTTCTGATGACATATCAATAGCAATTTCAAAAGTGACTATATATTGTTGCTGGCAACATCTGCAGGGTAGGCTGTTCAAATAGGAGAAGATGCCTGGTTGGCTCCAAAACAGTCAGAGAGTGTGAGAAATGTGGCTGGAAATGTCACACGTTGCACAATCTGCAGTGGACATCTGTGAAATGGGCGCTTTTGGGTGCTGCACTCTGGTCCTGCCTCTTGTCCACTGTGTGGTTCAAGGCAAAATATTTCTCTTTTATGGATTTCCTCCCTAGTTTCATCTTTATTTGTTGTGAAAGGAATTTTATTATGAAAATATTGACTGTGTTCCCTTACCCTTGAGAGGCAGAGAAGGGGTCATCCAGTGAACAGAGAGCTGAAACAGCTTCTGGGAGACTCTTGTCCAACCCCTGTTCTGCTGCCGACAGCAGGGACCCAGGGCAAATTATTCTATTTTTCTTGCCTGTGTCTCCTGCCAAGTGATGATACGAGGATAAGTATCTGAAAGGCTGTCTGGCACTCAAATATATGGTTATAGATGGCCCAGATGCAGCGTTCCTTAGCCAGGTAGATGTAATTACTCCCTATTTACAGGTCTTGCTTGCTCTGCAAAACAAACCMACCAGCAGAACACCTTTAGGCCTAAATTTCACCTTCAGCTCTGTGCTGTGAGTAGGAGACATCCTAATGGCTGGATTTACACTGCCAGAAGAGTTTTTAGGTCAAATGAATCTAGGGATTTCTTGACTAGAGGGGATGCTGCAGGGTGGCACAAGGGCCAGCTGCCCAGTGCCATATTCTCTTAGATACCAGCTTTTCCTCAGCAAAGTTTCCAAAGAGACCCCTGAATAACTGGAAGGCGGTAGCAAAGGAGTCCCGAGTAGAAAAGCAAAATTTGATAGCTTTGGTTGGCCCCTGATATTGAACCTTTCTTCTGCTCCTTGTCTGTGTTTGAGAGCGCGCCAAGCAAGCGTGACAGCGTGGGCTTTCCTGGGAGCTTGATCAAAGGAGCAGGAAACATGCCAGAGGGGAAGCAGGAAAAGGGGGCCACGAAGGGAAAAAGAAGTAAGCACCAGAGTTATGCAGCTTAAGGGGAATAAGACCAGGAGAGGCACATTCAGGATCCTCATTGCCCTCTCCACACCTCCTAAAGCTCCTAGACAGACAAAGCCAGGAACATTTCCTGTCCAAGGCAGCACTGCAATTTGGAGACATTGCTTGGGATGGATGTGCCCTACACAGACTGAAATGAACCTGGGCTTCAGCATCAGCTCATAGATTCTTCCAGTCTTTCCTTAAAGGGCAAGCAAGGTGATCAGGGCTGTTGAATGGGGCAGACTGGAGCTGTCTTCATGGAAAGAAGACATTTCTTTCCATCTTTGCCAATGCCTTCATTTAATGAATGAGCCAGGCTCGTTCACTTTGGTGTTTATCACCTCTTGACCTGGCCCTTGGTTGACTGAGACTTKTAAGTCTTGGGCTGTTACCTCTGGTCTCTTTCTCGCCTTCATAGAAGAACCATATTAGAAAGTTAAAAATAAATCCTGTGCAAAAAATATCCTGGAGAGATGCAGCAAAGAGCTCGTGCAAGGAGCATCTCCTGGAAGGTGGGGACCCTGGCAGAGCTGGGAGAGGGCCCAGCATATAAGTTAGAGGTCCCATAGCTCTGACTCAGAGGGCTAGTATGTTCCTTGGGTTTATTTAGAGAGCATGGCGAGCCAGAAGAGGACAAGTTTTGGTATTCCAAAGGTCAAGGAATAGTGGTGTGTCTTCAGAGAAAAGCTGGAACAATCAGGGAGTCTCAAGGATCGGGGTGTACTTGGCTTTTGGTAACAAGAAAGCTAAGGAGTGATGTGATGGTGAGGAAGAGAAATGTGATCATATAAATACAAATTTTTTCCAGTCCAGTGAGAAAGCTTTCAAGGGTTGGAATTTGACGCTGGGATAATTCAGACCAGAAATAAGRGGAATATTTTTAATGGCTGGAAAAATTAACTTTGTGAATGTTTGACCCGGGGTTGCAGCTGACTATCACTCGTACTAAAGCGTTACTGCAAGTAATAACATCAAKCTTGGATGGTTCACTAATGTATAGTTCCAGGTCAGCTATTTGATTGGAAACTGGAAGTCCTGAGACCCATGTTAGGATGGGGAGGTCACAGTCACATTGGTCCCTGCTGGCCTTGCCACACACCAGTGAGATAATGTTGCTTTAATGCAATTTCTGTCTTGCTGCTTTGAAGCACCAAAGGGCTAACTATAACACAGCCAGCACATCCTCTAGACCAGAGCAGGAAAAAGCAGTGATCTTGTCAGTAATATGAAGCTTATAATTGTGTGACTAATATATCATCATCTTTGCTGTTCATCACATGCATGGCATAATTTTCTCAGGTAATCCAGATGATCAGCTATTGTCCCATTAAACATGAAAGTTACTGTATTTTGGATCAATGGATAGTTTTTATTTTTGTACTGGGCTGCAACCAAATCTTTGCAAAAAATTGTATAGCTGCAGATCTGAAAGAAAAAAAGAAAGGAGTGACATTTTCCATGAGGCAAAGTGTAATATATGGTTTGGGGTTAGCCACAGTAATGCTTGGATAACTTTTTATTGCAGTTCTAACATTTAAAAATAATGAACAATGTGCATCTGTGTTAAGGTAATGTTGTTTAAGTGAGGTTTCAAAATCAAAACGCCCCGAAACACTTGCAGATTTTTTACAGTGATATATTGGGGGAAGCAATGAAGCAATACAGTGAGCTTTGATTTGGGCAAGAAGAGACGCTCTTGGGAAATATTCCATCAGGTGCCTATAGCGTGACAGGCTCCAGCTTAGCCCTGTAGCTAAGGCTGCATAGCAGTGGAGACACTTCTGGGTCCTCTTTACCCAGAGGTTTTTAAACTAGCAGACAGGGCAAAGAGCACCCTATAAAAAAAAAAATATATATATATATATATATATATATATATATATATATATTAGACAGAGCACCCTGTAAATATATATGGGTAGCAAAGGGTATATGCCTATTTTTTTTGACAAGTGTCACATTTCTGCCAGTTAGGGAGAGGCTTGTCAGTCCCAAGCAGTGCTCGGGGTGAAGCTGCCGTGGTCAATGTGGTCAATACCTCCTGGGCACCACTACGCGGTGCTCATGGCCCTTCTCTCTTTTCCAGCCTGCGACGATGGATATAAGCTGGAAAATGAGACCTGTGTGAGGTACACGTTTTACCCCTTTCTGCCTTCGTTTTACCCCCACCATCCTTCCCAGTGTGGCTTGGGTGGCCTCTTGCCACAGCCTCTGAATCCCTCTTGTTTGTGTCACCAGATGCCCGTTCGGCTTAGGCGGATTCAACTGTGGAAACCGTAAGTTCCAGATTTCTTCGCTTTGCATTTCCACTGCCTTAGAAATGGGAAATATGAACCAAGTAATTATAAATAACTATGTCTAGAATGTAGCAGATGCAGAGTTACTCCTGTCAGTGGTTTTMTTTTCTTCATTTTCTGTTGAAAATTGTGTTGCTGACCTTTTCAAAACTTGGTTTAACGTTATCTCCTAATAAGATTACCATTTTCTTGGAGCTCTCCCTTCTCTCTTTCTATCAGGAGATAGAGTGGGCAATTCTTAAGTGAGATATTTGGAGGTGAATCCACAAAAATCCACAACATATTGTTTGTGTTACTTTGATCACTCCGAATTTTTATAGCTGCTCTATCAGAATCTGTCCYCTAGAGAAACAGGAGCATGTTTGTCCTTCAACAGTAGATCTCCATCCATTTTACTTGAAAATACATTTGGCAGAGGGACGTGAACAGCTAATCCTTCTACCTAACGACTCTGTCTGAGCTTGTGTTAATATTTACACTGATATCCCTGTTTCTGCATGAGTGTCTCTGTCTCTCCATCGCAGCGTACCAGCTCATCACGGTGGTGATCGCTGCCGCAGGAGGGGGGCTCCTGCTCATCCTGGGCATCGCTCTGATCATAACCTGCTGCAGGTAGGTACCACGGGGTCTGTGCGTTACACTGACCTAGCGCTGCACGTCTGAGCCTTCAAGGACCAAAACGTAGGGGACAAAGGCATGGCTGAGCAAGCAGTCTAGTGAAAGACGTAAGCTTTCRCTAGGGATGTATATATGGAGATGTATATATGTTTTTGGAGATGTATATGTGTTTTTCTTTTCCATCAGACAGGCTACAAAATTCAGTATCTCCTCAGATTGTGTCTGAGGTGTCCCTAGGATGGAGGCAGAATGGGATCATTCCCACCCAGAATCATAGGGAAACTAAAGAACAGTCCCCCCAAACCCAAGCTGAGTTTAAGGAGTTTAGGCCACAGGAAGTGTGCCTTATGTTTGTGTGCATTGCAAGGCTGTGCTCCATTTCCTCTAAGCACAAATCCTGCACATGTTCACGCTGTGTCTCTCCCCACGTTTCAAACCTGCACACAGCCCACACGGGCACACACACAGTTCCCATTCCAGCAGGCAGCTTTGGACGAGAGGCAGGATGTGCTGCCAAGGTAGTTATGCTTGGTGATTTTATATACCGTGGAAAAAGTCTTGCAGAAATGCCCCTTCCCTTCACCTTCCAAGCCCAGGATTTCAAAGCTATCCAGACCAAAGCCTGTAGCTGGACGATCAGTAGCTTATCAGTGGCTTGGCTGGCACCGTCTTTCTGCAGTGTGCATTTGTTCACCCTGTTTTTTGAGCCAAGGCTCCCAGGTTAGCTCCAGGCAGAAGGTGTGGTGGCCAACACAGTAGCAACTGCAGCACCTCCAGGTCTCAGGGCAGATTTCTTCAGGAGAGGGGAGATTACGTTCTCACAAGTCCTGGCTCCTTGTCTGCTGAAGTAGCCACTTGATAGTAGTCTTTTCCTTTGGTAGGTTACTGCTTCAAACTGGGAATTTCTCCAAAATGAGCCTCATATGGTAATTATATAGAGGCATTTGGTGTCATTCAGACTAGCAGTTTATGAGAATTTTGTCTTAGGAATTAAAATATTACCTGGAAATACTATAGTCAAGTGTTGTAAGGCTTGAATAGCTTGGGAGTTGTCATTTTTTTAAAAAAATTTTTGTTGCCTCTTTCATTGACTCGGGTAAACACACGGATTTTTAAGGTCAAGAGGGGCCRTTATAGCTATTTTTAATCACCCCTCCATAACACTGACCATGACATTTCATGAAGCCTTAAATTCATAATTTCTGCTTAAGCCAGCCTTTAAAATCACAGGCAGTCTTTACTCAGAGTCTTTTCTCAGAGATATGAGAATCCARTCTTCCTGGAGATGTCGTTCCTGTAGTTAATTGCCTGTGCCTGAACTCATCCAACTGCTAGCCATGATGTTCTGTGGTCAATATTCCTGAATTTCTGCAGAGCAGATGAGTAAATCTCTGATTTTTAGATTAGTGAATTTTACTGATTTTACCTTGATTTCAACCAATGGTAGATAGTTTTAGAAAAAAAAATCAAGATGACAATACCAGTAGATAGCTCTTTAGGGCAAAGATGCTGTTTGTAGTGACCTAGACAGTCTTCACAGGGGGAAGCCTGACCAAGCCTGACCTAGCTGGGCTAGAAGGGAAAGCTTCATGAGGAACCTAACACATATGGGGAGGTCTTCCGGAAGATGGAGCCAGGATTTTTACAGTGTAAGATGGGTGAACAAGAGACAATAGTCAGGATCTGAAATATAAGAGGTTCAGATTGGGTATAATGAAAAGCTTGGAGTTTTCAAATCGTGACCAGATACCCACTCTGTAACCTGGTCTTGTCTCATATCTGACATTGCTTGGAGCTGGTGGTTGGACTAGAGCCCTCAGCTCATCCTGAATGATAATGATAATTATAATAATTGCTGTTCCAATCAAGATAATTATAATTGCTGTTCCAATCAAGATTTACAACATGTGGTAAATCTTACAAGTCAAGGTTTATAACATAGTTAAATCTTTCCTGAGAACATATCACAAATGTGTATAACATCAAAGGATAAGTTGTACCTTCTTACTTTCCTTCATTCTTTTCTAAACAGGAAGAATAAAAACGACATAAGCAAACTCATTTTCAAGAGTGGGGATTTCCAGATGTCACCGTATGCTGAGTATCCGAAGAACCCTCGAGCACAGGAGTGGGGTAGAGAGACCATTGAGATGCAGGAGAATGGAAGCACTAAGAACCTGTTGCAGATGACAGATGTATATTATTCGGTACCTATTCTTAAGTTACCTACTACTCCTTTGTGTCTGATGTAGCACAGATTCATTGAAAGCATAGATCCATCTTGTGCAAAACAAAAGAGCAAAGCAATGGTTTTTATAGAGAGCAAAGTGTTAGGAGCCAAGTGGATGCCAGATGTGATGTGTTGGTTATTGCACGTGGTGAATACCATGGAGAGATGTAAATAAGAAGGGGATTAGGGAAATGARAAAGCCCAATCCTGGAGTACAGAAGGACAGTTAAAGGTTTTGGACAGTCTCTTAGTACTCCCTGGGGATAGTTTGCTCCTTTCCTCTCTCACTGATACTGGGAGGTTTAGACCTTTGCCTGAGGGGGCTTTACCCCAAATGGGAAGGGGGCTCACCAGGGACTCCTGTCTTTCTCAGCTCCTTTCCTTTCCATGGGACAGACCCTTTCCTGTAGCAGAAAGACCATGYAAGGAGGATGCCTTCAGCTGTGAGGGAACAAGGATTGCAGAAGAGGTGGTGGAGAAATAACAGGCTACATAGGGCAGAGAAGGGCACACAAGACCTGGCATCAYGGACATTGTAAGTGTCCATTAGCTAGTACCAGTTATGAATGCCTATATCCAGAGCATTCTGTGGTGTTTGTATATCACCCATCACTAAACTTTTTTGACATGTTGGAAGTTCCCAAGGTGTTTGGGTTTGCTCTGCAGAGAGCAGTATTTTTTTTTTTATCTGATTTATATTTTTAATTTCTGCCAAGCAAGTTTACGGGGGCAAGGAGTACGGAGGGACTTAATCCTCCTCGCTGCTTTCAGGAAGAGATTTGGAAATGAGAATGCATTTCCTRGACTTTTTTGAGCACTGTTATTATGCTGCTGGCTAGAAGGAGAAGCTTTACAGCGACGAGCAGGCGATGAGGGCTTTGCATTGGATCTGCTCTGTAACAGATCAAACTGGGTGGCTTAATGTTTCTTACTGGGTGAAAGAATTGTGCCATCTTGACCTCGGACAGCGAAGTTCCTTAGTTAACTGTCTCTAGGAGATTTGTTTGAGTAAGAGAATGGGAAAAATGCAGGGTGGATTACCTTGGTTTTGATGCATAATTGAGGTTGCTGTGCTGGGATGGCAGGCACCTCTGACTAGAGGAGAGAGAAGTGCYTCCAGTTAATATTCAAAGTGGGAAAATAACTTTGATTTTTTCAGAAAGAATTTCCTTTAAAGATAACTATGGGTCAATATCATTCTTGTGAGAGTTATTTCAAGGCTTGAGCTCATCAGCACAGCTTTCATGGGATTAAAAATTAACCATGCATTCAGGCTGCACGTGGGGTTAGGTAAAATTCAAATCTGCTAATGACCAGCATGTTAAAACTAGATTGGGTCAGAATAATCCCCTCCAGGCAATGCCTAGCTGCCACAGTAGAAATGATTCAAGATTGTAGACGTCACTGGTGATCATGTTGTTCCTTCTGCCTACTGAAATGACTGTTGGGAAGGGGGAAAAGATTGCGCTTGAAAGCCCGTTTGACTGTGAGAATAAGACCCTTTTTAACTGATTATTTTTTGCTAATACAGCCAACTGGACTGAGAAATCCTGACCTGGAAAGAAACGGACTTTACCCTCCCTACACCGGTTTGCCCGGATCTCGACATTCGTGCATCTACCCGGGCCAGTACAATCCATCCTTCATCAGTGACGAAACCAGAAGAAGAGACTATTTTTAGCAGGGTGGCGAGAGCGTGGAAGATGGGCAGAGCTCGGTGGCCCTTGGGCACCAGGTGCCCTCCAGCTCCCGGCGGTTCAGCCCACGTCAGTCTTGCTCTTTCCATGTCGCAGCAGGAAGGATTTTGGACCCGGAGCAGGGCATTGCACCCGAGGAAGCATCGTGGTTGTTGAGCAGCCAGGAGAAGACGGAGGAGGGAATGGCCCAAGGCGCGGAGCAGTGAAGGGCCCAGGGGGAAGCAGGTGCCCTGTTTTTGGGCCACGCTCCCCTCCGTGCCGTGAGCGCRGACGAGCGCAGGCAGGCGAGCTGCGCCCGGCACTCGGAACCCAATGCCACTAGGGAGTGTTTTGTTTACAGACCTCGTTCACTGTCAGGCTGACGGCCGTGCTCTTAGTGCAAAGAGTCACCGTGTGACTGGTTTTGGAAGTGTGTCAGCTCCCTTCTCTCCTGCCACCTTGCCTTTTGCTTCCTGCGCCAGAGGGAGCTGGMTTGTCCTCTAGCCCTTGTGTTCTTGCCCATAGAAGTTCTCCAAAAGGCTCCTTCCTTACCAAGGCCTGGCAGGGTTRGCTGGATTGGGTTGGAGGAGGACAGGGGTGTTAGTCATAGCACTGTGATGATGGCTGACCAAGAGATGTGGCCGACCCCGTGCGCTGCTCCTGCAYGGAGGGAAAAGTCTCAGTGCGTCAGAGTTTTTGTCAGCAAGCATTGTTTGAAAGTGATACCTCCACAGGTCATCAGAGTGCTTCCGTGTAGGATTTTAAGGGGTTCTTCTCCTCTGCAAGGTTTTACATGACTGGAAAAACAACAACTACAACAAATAATATAACTTAAAATAGTTGCTAAGAGGAAAATTTACTACAAAGATGAAAACTGTGAGCTGGATACTCACTATGCTCTTTACATGGGATTTGCAGCAGTAATGGTAGAGCCCTGATGGGGCAGCAGGAATGTGAGTGTGGGACAGGGCAGGTGGGACACAGCTTCAGCCCACCTCAACTTCAGCAGGAGCCATGGGGGAGGACTCAGTACATCAGGAAATGCAACTTGTTGCAGTCAGTTGCATTTCATAAAACAGGATCACAGAATCCTGGTAGAGCAAAGATCACACCTTTCAAATTGTTTTGCTTTTATCCATCCCAGTTTCGGGTTACTCAGATTAGGCCGATTTCCTGATATAGGTGTGTTAATTTACATGAATCACCTTGGCATAAGTTGAAGAATGTAAATCAGAATATTCCTCGCCAAAGATCAGATTTATTGACTTTATTCCTCCTTGAGATGGATGTTGAAAGAGGTCTTTCATATGAAGTATTTTCACAGCTTATCTTTGCAAAGATAAATCAAATCATTCAAGACCTGTCCAGATGCACTAATCTTTACCTGAATATCATTGTGCTTTTAATTCAAGTTGGTTCCTTGCACGAGGACAGCAAAGAATAATGCAGTTCCTAGCTCTTAACCCAGCATCTCTGCGGGGTGGAATGATCTAGCTTCRCTAGCTCTTCTTCCAAAAGCAGAGACCTCTCCATACTCCAGTCTCCCCATCAGGGCTCAAAGAGGCATGGTGCCTTCAACAGCCACATGGACTATGGGGTTTCTCCTCCATGGTCCCTGCTCCATCTGCTTCTATGTTCTCCAGACTGCAAGGTGGCCAAAGCACTGCAAATGCAAAGCACTTCCCAAATGCAAAGCCTGGGAAGATGCAGTTTSGTGCCCCATATGCAGCATAGGCACACACGCCCCTGCAAGCCAGCAAATGATATTCTGTGTTTCATTAGCAGCTGATACCCAATTATCCAGGGTGCATTGGAGGGTGTGAATAAGGACATGGCCCTGACGTGTTCTGGTGGCTCCTGGTGAGGACACTGGCCTTGCAACCTCTCTGAGGATGAGCTGCCGCTTTGACATAGCAGCAGCTCTGGTTTTGATGTGTGCCTGGTTGGAAAGGGTCTCCTTTGCCATGGTGTGGAGGAGGGTTTTGTCTGTGCTATGAACCAAAGAGGGAAGCTGGGACTTGCTGCTGACTCTAAATACGATGTAGATGAGCACTGGGACCTGTCTCTATTACATTTAGGACTTTTCTTTGTATATCTAGAGCAGTTGAGCAAAAAGTGAGCTCATGACAGCAGGTTTGAACCATGAGCCAGCTTTTCATCGGAAAGCCGAGTGTTTAGGCACTTGCTTATAGGCAGATGTGTGGGATTGCTTGGTTAGTTCAAAGACCACGTACTGTAAAGTGTGCCTTAGTGTGCCAAGTGACTAGCTCAAAGGGCAGAGATGGGGCCACCTGCTCAATACTGCAGATCAGACCTTCCATACCGAGTGTGGCATCCCTGTTAATCAAGCTCCTGGCCTAGGTATCTCAGCAAACTGCGAGTACTTGGAGTGGGAAATGTGGCAGAGTTGTTTTCTAATTCAGATCACAAAAAAGTCTGTAAGGAATTCAATTTCATTTCTTAATAACCTGAACCTTAATAACCTTAATTCTCCTTAATGTTGTAAAAGGAGTAAAATATCTCGCTAAACCCAGCAGGATTTTCTGACTACGAAACCTGGCCTTTTCCAAGGGAGATACCTGGGCTTTATTGCACTGAAATGTTCTACCTGTTCAGGGGATGTAAACACTGGAGAACTGTGAATTTGTCCTTGGCAACCTCACCTTCCTCTTAAGGTTTGGTGACAAAGTCCTGGAGCTGATGTGGAGTCCACAGGCAGGAGGAAAAGGGTCTCTCTGCCTGGGAAGTCACCTGGGAGGAGAGAACTCGGCAGCCCGGCCTGCTTTCCCATGCAGTGAGTTTCGGGAGGTCTCTGCAGAGCCAGTGCACTGCAGTGAGGAGCAGTTCCATAGGGAGCCCAGCTGCTTCCCGCACTGCGATGCTCCTGTCCTGGCCCGGGGCTCTTGCCTTCCCCAGGTGCTTTCCTGCAGTTTGCAGCCCCTCGTTTGCAGTAATTAGTTAATACTGAGGGTCACTCACCCGCTTGCAGCTAGTAGAACTGTCACCACAATCCTGCTCATCAGCTGCTGCCAACAACAGCCCTTTCTAGCCACCACCAGCACCCTGGCAGCAGTGTGGGGCTTGGGCAAGAAGGGTCTCGTGCCCTCTCTCTCTCTTCCCTGGGCTCTGTTTTCAAGTGCAGATGCCTCTGTGTTAAGTTCTTTACTCCTTGGGATGTCTGTATAAACGTAGCCTTGTTTCTCAGAGGTTTTGGGTTAAATTAACTGCTCCTCAAACTGCAAATTTTGACTGCACTGGCTGCTTTTGCCAAGGGCTCTATGTCATGCAAGGTGAGAGGATGGCTTAGAGGATGTATGCAAGTGTCTCATAGGAGTCTGCAAGTGTCTCACCAGATAGAGGGAAAAGAAGGGAAAAAAACACACCATTGCCTATCGAAATCTGTTCTTGCTCCTGGCTCCAGCACGAAGCAGGGAAGCAGCCAGCAAGTGCCCTCGGGCAGCTGTGTGGGAGTCTTTCCGATTGCCTTCGGAAGAAGCACAGCTTGCTGGCCAGAGAAGGCGCGTTGCTCTGCAGCTCGTGTTGCTGAAGCCCGCGCACTGCCTGGGGAGAGGTGGGCAGCAAAATGCAGCTTTGGGCATCGCTCGCCGGGCAGGTTGGTGCGAGCTGCGTCCCGCGTGCCTGCCCTGCCGCTCACCCCGCGCCCCTCCCGCGCCCTGCCGGAAAAAAACACCACGGTTTTGCATGCCATTGAACCTCCAAGTGCAAAACCCAGCGAGGACAGGAATGCACGAGGAGGGGCGTTTTAGTGGCCTTTTCCCTCTGCACTTAAAGTGTCRGCAAGAAATCCCGTTGCTGCTGCACCCTTTCCTGCAAAGTCCGGGTACCACAGTTGTATATTGAGGCTCTCCCTGCAGCAATTTGCAGTAGGGGAAGGCTTTTAGAAAATAGCAATAAATGGCATTTAGTGAGAAGTATTTGTCACTGTGAAGCTGTTTGTCCCAGCCACTGTAGAGCCTGTCCTCTAGGCACCTTGCAGACCAGGAAAGTGGCTTTGGACATGGCTGCAGACGCATGAAGGGCTTCCCCAGGACTCCTCTCTGATTCTGGTCAATGGCAATATCTGTGCCAGATCCATCTGGACTTCTCATTCCCTCCTATCAGGACTAATCTTCAGTTTTCTTCCTTAAGTTAAACAAGAACGGATGCATTATACTTAAATGCTCTTCCTATGCCAGCTATTGTGTTTTTTTCTTTGCACACAAAGGCACTAATCAAGCATCCATTGCATTGACTAGGATAACTTCCCCCAAAATTGCAAGGGAGTTTTTCCTAGGCCTGAATTGTTCCACCTCCAGGTGACTTGGGTGTACAACGTGCACTCCTTTGGATTTCCACTCAGCCCATTTCTGCAGGGGCCTTCCTGCCTTTTAACATAGTATTTATTTTTTAAAAGTATAATTTTTGCTGTAAAAAAGAAAATGCGTTGTGTGAGAGTGAGCAAACAGGTTTCCAGATCCAAAACACTTTCCTGTAAGAGGATGAGTGTGAATTTTGTAAAATTGTTTCCAATGAGTTATCCCTTACTAATTGAGTGACCTGTTTCCTATGGTGTAAAATCTCCTAGAGAAATAGAGCTGCTTTTGGTGTTCAGAGAAATATTCTGAGGTGAGTTCTCTGGATGCAGGGGCTACTGCTGCACATTTCCTGCCCCTTTGGCAATGAAGTGAGATCTCCTGGTGAGGAAGGGGATGCAGCACGTGCCTGTAGGATTTCAAGCCTTGCAGTGTGTGTTTAATTCTTCATTCCCTTGAACTACTGAAGCTGAAAAGCAGGAAAAAGTCCGTTCAGGAATAAGGGAGTCAGTTCAGCAAGGAAAAGGATATACTGAATTGTTTTGCAAAACTAAACGTCTAAGGTCAGTGGAACACTGTGACTTCTGCATTCTGTAAGGTCTTATATGGGATGAGATCTTTTCAGCGTGCAGTTTGCTTTTGAAGTCAGCAATATCCCCACTGGGGGAAAACCCAGAGAGGGTGCCCTAAAATTCCTCAAAAGTAAGGTATAAGTGCTTTTATTTTCCCTGATAAAATGCTCACTGAAAGGGATGGGGGCCTTGCACTGCAGCAAGTGGCCCACAAATTTGTAATCTGCTGTGCCCTGTTACAGAAGAGTCCTGTGGAAACCTGTAAAAAGGGTAACTTTTCTTGGGCAGTCCCATGGAATTTGCCTGCTACAAAATGCTTGGTTTAAAATCTGGTTGGGTGGTTTGCTTTACAGGGAAAAAAAAAAAGAAAAAGAAAAAGAAAAAGAAAAGAAAAAATATTCAATTGTTTATTTTGTTTCAAGGAAAATCAGGTAAACAAAATAATTTGTTTTAAGCCTGATGAAATTCTACAGGGCTTTTCGTAATGGAAAGCAAAATATTGTGTGCAAAATATTACTGGTCTCCTTGAGCAGCTTTCAGATTTGCAGAGTAAAGCTCACCTCTACTGAAATTCCCTTTCAAAAGGCAAAGTTTCAGCATTCGTTTGTGCTTCTGTTATCAACTTGAACGTGGACCTGTTTTATGTTCTTGATGTTGTCTGCGTTTCCCTTCCCATATCTCTGAATGATAGCTTCCAAGTTGCTGGGTTTTAAAGGACTCRTCCCAAACCAGTATTATTTAAAGTTGTATCATATTTTCAGTCTCCACTAATTACACAGTACTGTTGTAGCAAAATATAATTTTTAAGGATTGGATTATTTTTATATCTGCRTCCAATATTATTAAATCTGGCGTTCTAGTCAGTGTTATAAAAGGATACAATAAAACTATGAACATTAGCATGCCTCAGCTTTTTTATTGTCTAAAGCTTTCCATGTGAAGAGGAGCATATACTACTTTTAGACCATTTTAACTTCCGGGAGGAAGGAAAGCCTTGGGAAAGGCTGGTGCAGTGGAGCCCTTTCCATGGGGCTGGCCTTGACCACCGTAACATGTCCTCTCCCTTATCAATTGCCATTGGGGATATAGACTCGAATACCTCTCTGAAGATGAAACCTTGAGTATGGAAGAGAGCAGCCTTCAGCACAGGCTGCTAGGAGGAAGTGTGACTCGCGAGAGCCCTCTGAATAACAGCAAGTTTATTGATCTGGAAGAGTACTTGAACATTAAGCATATTGATCTGGAAAAAAAAATGAGCATTTTTGACCCAGAAAGGTACAGCACTCAGCTGGGATAGCAATTGAATGGGACTAGGGTGGGATTCATCTGCTCTGCCCAAAGCTGGGTCACTCTAAACCAACCACCTGGCTCCTCCTGCCACCATGGAAAGCAGAAGACAACTCTAATTCTACGTGAGGTAGGTTTCCCTGGTCCTCTCCTGTGACAGCACTGTCACAGGGACCCCGCTGACACCAGATGAAATGCTGCTTGCAGAGAAATGGTGATTCTACAAGTTATTTCTCACTATATCCTGAAACTTCAAAGTCCTTTTGACCAAAGTCAAAGGTATTTGGGGTTGTGGACAAGCACAAGGTGCAGAGGGCTGGCCTGTTTTGGGTTTGTGCCTCTGCGACTGCGGATCCCGTTCAGACTGCATGACCTGCACCGCTTCTGAATCACCTGAAAAGAAGTCAAAGCAACATATGCTCCCATGGATTAYGGTGGGTCAGTACATATATAGCTTTGATATGGGTTTTCTGCTGGTTTGTTWGAATTGGGGAACTTTAGCTAGTTACAAGACACGTTTTGATGGATATGTGTAGCATACAGCTGCTGAATCCTATTTATAGGAAATAGAAGAATGTATATAAATCTGCTAAGGATCAGAATTGAAAAATACACAGGAGGAACAACACATTCAGCTGGTGTGTGAGAAGAGCTGTAAAAGGCAGTTGCTCCTACTTTAATGTGTGGCTTACGGCAGCATGACTGCCCCTTGGTCATGTGCAGCTTATGGTTAAATAATAAGGCCATATGTGACTACTCACCTTATTGTACTGAAGTCTTTTACCTTTGAACACGTTTGAGACTGTCATAAACTAACTGTAAGGCAAGTGAAAAACTGCTGCTTGTTACTAAATATAGCACTTTTTTATTTCATAATAATCATTTATGACTCTCCTTGTTTGCCATACATGAGCTTTGACGCACATCAGCTTGGTTTTACTACTGGTGGGAAGTAATTCTTGTTCCTGAAGAGGAAGATGTCTTTGTAATCCTTTACAGTATGTCACACCATGGTTATCTGACGCTGTTTAGACTAACAGTTAACTGTCTGTTGTCTAAGAATGTGCTTAATAAGCTTGTTACTAATTATATTTGAGAGAGAGAGATAGCCATGACATCGTTTCTTCTGTTCTGATAGTTCTAGCTGTTCTCCTAAACCGTTTTATGTCTAATACAAAATCTCCCCACAAATTTGGAGTGTTGTCACCTCACCTGTCTCCAGGGAAGAGCTTATTGTCACCTCAGTTTGTTATGGTGCACGCAGGGAAGCACAAACAGAGCCAAAAAAAAAAAAAAAAAGATCCAGCACATATACATGCATGTCTGTACTCTGTTTTTCCCTAGAGGAACTACTGCCTTTTGCATAGCAAATGCTTCCTAATTCTCAGAAATGTGCCCATTTTTAGATAGGAATAGCCAAATAAGATAGAAAGCTTACTATGAAAAGAATATGGTCTAGGGTGCACCAGCTTCTTTATGTATACTCACTGTAGACAACATCTTTAGTGTGCAGGGCTATGCATTCAAGCAGTATAAACTGATCTGGCAAGCAAAGCCATATCACTTACACCTGCCCAAGACCTGGCCCTCGATTTCAATGGTGCTCTGTGAAGTTCCCTTGTGCTCACACTCTCAATTCACAGGAAACTAAGCTTTCAAAGCATGGTTTCTTTGTCTAATTGCATTTCGAGGTAGCATTGGAAAATTGGGGCATACCAGGATGACTCAAGAGTTCGGATGAGGGAGGGAAACTGTTGGAAGGTTGGTTGTCTATAGCTATGCTGCATGTTCTCCGCAGCCAGGCTTGTCTTGGTGTACGTATACATTT